GGTCAGGAACCGACTCGGTCCAGAGGACGGGTCAGGATCCCACAGACAGTAAAATATTCTTTTCTCTTATGTCTCATTGGAAACTTGTTGCGCTTGTGGTGAATTTGAATGGCAGCCAATCAGAAAGAAGGCAATGTACACTTCAGGAAATGATCTTGACTTGTATATTCTGGTGATTTAAAACGGGTTGGTGTTTTTATTAGAAAAGCTGTAAACAGATAAATGTAACCATTCTCGTCCAGCCGTTCCTTTTATTAAAACGTCTTAGTTTTATTCTGCTCCCTGCAGGTGAACGATCTGTTCCTGGACAGTAAGAGCCGGCTGGAGCAGTGCAGCATGGACCTGGATGAGAAGCAGCAGAGGTAGAGCCGCTCCGCGTAGCGTTGGAGCCCCGCCTTTATCAGCCGGGCTCTCACGGTTCTGGTTCTGGTTCCAGGCTGGAGGAGACCAGCAGGCATCTGGAGAAGACCAAGGAGAAGCTGGTGGAGGAGGAGTTCATCTGCTCAGAGCTCAGCTCGGTCCACGAGTCGCTGTACAGCGCCGCCGGACAGGTACGCAGCTTCACCTGTCGCTGCCGGGGCTCAGGTTGCTATGGCGATGAAAATCAGTCAGTCAAGGCTTGGAAAAAATACTTTAATACCAAACAGTGGAGTTTTAATGCCCACAGTTAAATGCAATCTGACATTTGATTAAAAGCCTGAATTTGGGAATATTTTATTTACAGCGTGTGTGTGTGTGTGTGTGTGTGTGTTGATTGTAATACCTTATGGGGACCATGTTCCTGACACATATTGCATTGTGGGGACCCACAAGAGGAAAGGCTGTTTTTGGGTCAGAGGTCAGATTTAGGGGTGAGTTGTGGTTCAGGTTAGTGTGAAGTTGGAGGAATGAATGGAAGTCGATGGAAAGTCCCCACAAAGATAGACATGCAAACATGTGTTTTTATGTCTGAAGTTAATTTGGATCAAATGTTTATTTTAGGTCAGTTATTTAAAATGACTGATTTTTGCTGGAAGCCAGAAAACTTTGAATTGTTTCAGTGTAATAAATATTTATTCCTAATGGATCAATGACTTATTGATCTGTTATTGGAAGAAAGGTTGGCTTATATCTTTACATGTTGAAGAAAGTTATTGAAATCTATATTAGTGTTTGACTATAACTTTACATATATTTCAGATCCTGTTCATGTAGAAAAGCAGCAGCAGAGATAAAGTGGAACTGAAACTTTTTATTTTAATTCCTGATGTTTTTATCTCCAAACCTTAAAACTGGTTTATTATTTTCTGACTCCGCCTGCAGCTGCTGAGCGCCGTCGGTGAGAGCACCAGCGACGTGTCGGGTCTCCACGCCAAGCTGGACCGCAAGACCAAGGTGGGCCTCGTGGGCCAGTGAGGGAGCCGGTTCTGGTTCTGACCGGGTCTAACCGGGTCGTCTGGTCCTGCAGGTGGAGCAGCACAACATGCAGATGCAGCAGAGCTTCTCCCAGAGGATGGACGGCGCCTTCAGCAGCATGCAGCGCAGCGTGCAGCAGCACGGCGCCGCCCAGGCCCGCATGCTGACCGGCTACGCCCACGCCGTCGGTAGGTGGCGCCCTGCGTCCAGAACCGGGCCGGCCGGGGTTCTGCGGGCTCATGTCTGCCTCTGTCGTCCAGATGGCCTGCTGGTGGGGAACGAGGCCACGCTGCGGGGTGCCCTGGTCGCCGTGGAGACGCTGGTGGGCGGAGTCCAGGCGCTGGTGGCGGACGGCGCCGCCCGCTGCCGGGAGAAGGTGGAGCGGCACGAGGCGCTGACCCGGGAGCAGAGGGAGGCTCTGCTGCAGCTGCTGGTGAGCAGAGTTCTGGTTCTGGTTCTGGTTCTGGCGGTCCTGGTTCTGACTCTGACCCGCTGGTTCTGGTTCAGGAGGAGCACCAGCAGGAGGTGCAGGACGTTCTGGCCGTTCGGACGCTGCCGGGTCTGACCGCCATCAGGGAGCTCGGCGACACCCTGCAGGTTTCCATGGAGACGCAGCGGGATCTGGCCAACCAGGTGGGTCCAAACCCGGATTCAGACCCGGTTCTGATCAGAGGAAGACTGGGTGGCACCGGGTGACCCAACAGTGATTTATGTTAAAGAAAAGATGGTTTAAAAAGTTAAAACTTCATTATTCAGAAAATCAGCAGCTGAAACTTTAACGACCAGAAATCTGAGAGTTTAACGTTTATCTGAACCGGCTGATGACCCCTGACCTCCCGACCCGACCCGATCCCCAGCAGGTGGAGGCGATGAAGGAGACCGGAGTCTTCCTCAGCGGTCTGGTTCTGGACCTGGCGGCGCTGCGTCAGGAGGCCCGGACCGGACTGAGCGCGCTCCAGGAGGAGCAGGAGCGGCTGCAGCAGCAGATCCAACGGGCCCAGCAGCAGCACCAGCAGGTGAGCCGGCCCGGTTCTGTCAGAACCAGTAGGAGTCCGGGGGGGTTCTGTTGGGGTTTGGGTCCGGCTGAACTCTGTTCTGGTCGTGTTCCTGCCAGGGGATGAACCGGGCCATCCAGTTCCTGCAGGACCAGCTGAACCTGGTTGCCATGGAAACCCAGCAGCACTACAGCGAGCTGCAGGCGGCCTCCAGAACCCTGCAGGGCCCGGTTGAGGCGCTGCAGCAGAACCTCAGCAGGTCAGAGCTCATGATGCTCTTCCTCCTCACCCTCCTCTTCCTCACCGTGTGCCTCCTCTTCATCATCCTCCTCTTCCTCCCTGCAGCCGCTGCGACGCGGTGGAGCAGCGTTCTTCGTCGCAGGCGGAGCGTCTGCTCTCCTCCTCTTCCTCTCTGGCCTCTTCGCTGCACCAGGCGGCCCAACAGAACCGGGTTCTGCTGGAGGAGATGAGCGGCCGCTGTTCGGACCTCCACGGCGCCGTGTCAGGTACCGGTACCGCCTCCTGTGATGCCCCGCCCCCTCTGGGTGGAGATGAAGGTGGTGATGATGATGATGTTCTGCTGCAGGTCTGGTGGACCGGGACGCAGAGTGGACCTCCAGAACCAGGGAGCAGGCGGCCCACCGGGCCCAGGACCAGCTGGTTCTGATGGAGCAGCTGGCAGAGGAGGCCCAGAGTCTCCATCAGGTACAGCATTAAACCGGACCACAGGCCGGGTTCTGCTGGGTTCTTTTGGGTTCTGCTCCTGCTAACCAACCCGTGTTCAGGGCGTGGAGACCCGGGGCGCTGAGCGGCTTCGGGCCGCCGAGGCGGACCTGAGCGGCCGGCAGGAGGAGAACCGGCGGGTTCTGACGGCTCTGCAGGAGCAGACGGGTTCGGACCGGGCGGTTCTGGAGCGGCAGCGGGCGGAGCTGCAGGAGCAGGTGGAGGCGGGTCGGCAGCTGGTCCGAAGCTTCCTGCGGGACGAGCTGCAGCAGGACGTTCCTACTGGTGAGGAAGAACGGACCGGAACCGGACCGGGTTCTGGACTACCAGAACAGAACAACTATAACATTTTTATTATTATTTACTGTTTTTATTTTAAGTAATTATTTATTTCTTTATTTGGTATTATTATTTTTTAACAATTTTTATTTTAGTGTCTTTTTTGTTTTTTTTATTGATCAAATTATTCATCAGTAAAATTATTTAATTTATAATGTAATTTTGTTTTTCGTAATTTTTTTATTTCATAAAATTTTTAATGTTCATGAATAATTTAGTTTTTCTTACTAAACATAATATTCACAAGTGATTTATTTTTGTTTCCTGTTTATTTTTTACTTGTTAAAAAGAGATCAAGTAAAACTCTTGTTTTTAAAATTAAGTGACACTTTAATTAGCTGATGATGTCATCATCTGCTGATGTCATCGGATGGGTTTCAGGTAAATGTGTTCTTTGCTGACCCGGTTCTGCTGCCTCCAGGTCTGACTCCTCAGCGCCGGGAGTTTGTTTATCCCAGGGTTCTGAAGAAGAGCGGCAGCCGCAGCGAGCTGCTGGAGGCCCTGAGGATGAGGCAGGAGGAGGAGGAGGAGGAGGATGAAGGCCCAGAGGACGACAAGCAGAGCCAGGTTGACCAGGTGAGCTCCCTGACTGTGAGCTGGTTCTGTGAGCATGTCTTGGTTCTGACCCGGTTTGTCTGCAGGACTCCCTAGAGGACGACTTCAGCTCCTGCAGCGAGAGCCTGGCCGCCGAGCCGCCCTTCGTCGACGAGAACCTCGTCTTCAACGAGAGCAAGCGGCTTCCTTTCTTCAAGGTGAGTTCAGGGGAACCGGGCCGCCGAGGGGAACCGGGCCGCCGCCTAACGTTCTGCTCTGATCCCATCGCAGCAGAAGAAGGGCAGCAGGAAGGAGACGAAGGTTTTGTCCAGGTCCAAAATGGCGGACAGCGAAGGCCAGGCCTCTCCGATGAAGTCCCGGCTGCCGCTGCGCTGCCAGAACTGAACCAGCCGCACACTTCAGTTTTTATCGTCTGTCATCTAATATTTCACGTGTGTAAAATAAACATTTCTGCTTGTTTTTTATTATTGTGAAATAAAACATGAATCATTTTACACTGAGACAATTTAAAGTCTGTTAAATGTTTTTAGACTGCAGTAACTTCACTGATGCTTGTTGCAACCAAAAGATCATCAGACACAACTCTGCAGTTTATCGACTGAAATGGATTTGGACTTTTTTTCCTCCTGATTTTATTTTGTTTTTTAAAATGCCAACATTTTAACTTGGCTTAATACTTTTGCCCATCTTGGGTAATTTTTGAATATTAAATACATCAAAGACTGGTTTTGATTTCTTTTGCTAAATTTTCTTCTGGCCCAATCAGTGACCAGACTGAGTTATGAACGATGACGTTGGTTTTCTGCGCTGCTTTAGTTTTGTTGTCAGCCTGTAGTTTTAGCAATGGCAGCGGAGGAAGTGAAGGAAGCTGCTCGGTCTGTTAGTCACACTTCCAATCATTGAATTAACAGCGGGCTGGTTCGGCTCGGTTCGGTTCGGCTCTCTCAGCAGCGCAGGACGGTTGTTTAGTCAACTTCCGGTAAGCTTCATAGCGAAACATGGACGTCACTGATCGGAAGAAGTTAAATATGTCGGCTTCTCTCTGAGGCAGCTCCATGTATTGCCAGGTATGTATTCTACAAGTTATTCATAACAGTTTATGTAAAAACAGAATTTATGCTAAGATCTAATTTAAGCAAAAATGTAATTTTGTCTTCTAGAAATTTTGGTCTGAGCATCAGTTAGCATAAATTCTCTTATGGCTATGCTAACAAGCAGCTAAACAATTTATACTGAGGCACAATTTCAGTTATTGGTGTTCGCTAAAGAGTTTTATGCTAAAATGGAAGTTATGTTATCAAATTTATGCTAAACTAGAAATTAAACCAAAATGTGAATTCATGCTAAAACTGAAGTTAATAAAATATAATTTACGCTAAAACGGAGATTACACCAAAAAGAGACTTTAGGTCAGGAGTCAGTTTTTTGCAACTGAGCTACTTCACAGATAATTGATAATCAACTTAAATGCTTTCTTTACGTGTCCATAGTCCATAATTATAAAAACCTTTTCTTAAATGAATGAGCTAAATAGAAATAAACCTTGGTTAAAATTGTAATTCTGTGTTTTGGGAAACCAGGAAGAATGACAGGTGTAGTTAACAGAGATGGTTTTAATGCTGAAGACGCTAAAGTAAAAATACTGAAGTCCTTCAGCCAGCATTGAAAAGTTTAACTGAACATTTACATTTATTTTAAAAAAGGCATTAATTCTTGTACATCTGAACTGTATGTTACAGCAAAAGTTATTTAGAAGTAAAAGCTAACGAAGTTTAGAAATATAATTTATTAAGAGCAATGATATTTTAGAGAGTATATTTATATTTGACTGTCTGCATCCAGCATGTGGCAGTAGTGATCCTGAAAACGGATCCACCAGATGGGAACGGAGCAGAGCCAGAAGGCGTGGAGCTCTTCTGGTGAAACGTTGATTTTTGCAGCTGAGATGAAGGCTGTTTACCCTGCAGAACCGCTCCATCATGGCTCTGACGGCTGCTCTCTCCCTCCTGACTCTCCTGGCGCTGCCGGTCGTGGCTCAGGACGTTACTTACTTTGAGATTGGCGGGAATCTGGATCTCAACCCAGCGTTCTCTGGTGAGATCACCAGCATCACCTGGAAGTATAAAGGGAACATTGTCGCTGAATACATTAAGGATTCGGTTCCTCTGGAATATCTGGGTGACTTAAAAGGCCGAACAAACGTGAATCTGACCACCGGAGTACTGACCATCAGCAACATGAGTCAATCTGACGGCGGGCTGTTCACGGTGGAGATCAACAACAGGGTCCTTCCTGTCAGCTATAACGCTGTGGGGGTCAGGAAGCTGGACGACTACCCTGTTGAAGTCATCATGAGGCCTCTGACGTGCCATCGCAGTTCCACTGAATGCACCCTGACTTGTTGGGTCGACTTAAACGAAGCCGAACCCGTCCAGTACTTCTGGAAGAAAGGAGAAGCTGGAGAGTGGGAGGAGGGGGAAAAGGTGATCACCATTTCTCAAGAGACTTGGAGCTTTCAAACCATCACCTGCAAAGTGAAGAACCCATTCAGTGAGAAGGACAGCGACCCGGCAGTGAACCCCTTCTACAGGAAATCCTCCTCCTTTCTCAGACTTTTGGTCAATTCTTTCTCAAATGTTTCAGACTGAGGATCACTTAACCCATTAACCATCACTCACCGAACATGAAACTCCAATAACACAACATCTTTATATATACAACCTGGAATGAAAATATTAATCTCTCATCCCAGTTATTGTTGCTTTCTTTGTTCATCCCCAGGTGTGAAGCTTTGTAAATGTGACTGACCAGAACGAAACCATGAACGAGTCTGGGACGTTTTCTGATTCTAAGCTTTTCAAAGATGGAAAACACATGAAAGTCAAAGTGAGCTGTTCTTTACTACAAGTGTTATGTGCATTTGTGATTTAGAAACATAAAGAAATGGACTTGAGTTGCTTTGGAGGAAACTCTCATTTTCTTTCAGCCCAAAGAAAGTTCGGCATGGATAATATTTCTATTTTTGGTGTTAAGATGAAGTTGGTCCGCGCAGCCGCAGGTCCAGAACAGGTGTTCTAACTTTCTGTGCTACCCATGAATCTGCGTGCCGGTGGCTAACATTTAACATCAGTTTCCCCTTCTAACATAAATTATTCATGTGTTTATTTCCCCTTTTTACTGATTTATTTTTACACATAAGGTTTAATGTTAATCAAAAGTACTTTCCTCCTATCATGCTTTACTTTGCATGTTTCTAAATACAAATGCCTTTACTTTCTGCATGTCTTTAAGATATATTCAAATAACATGTACAGCGTCATTATGTAGCATGCACTATATCATAATTAAACGGCAAATGAAATCAAATTTGTCCATGTGGTTCATAATAAACTGGGTTTTATTATGAGTTCTTTGGTAATCAATTGTCCCACAATCAATCAGATTAATTTTAGGAATAAATCAGAAAAGAGTCCTGGAAACAGGCTGTTTGCTCACATTATGCCTAGAAGAGTCAATATCAGAGTCACAATCATATTTTATGTGTATCTTAAGCTAAAATACCTTGAAATGGTTCTTATTGTTATCCTCCATAATGTCTTTGAATTCTGAAAAGAACTGGGTTTAAATGGGCTGAACTCGTATAGCACTTTTTCCAGTCATTTTGACACTCAAAGCTTTACACTAGAGTCACATTCACCCATTCACACTCACACATTCATACACCGATATGCAGATCGATAGGCAGCTTGGGGTTAAGAGCCCAGAGGCACATCGACATGAGGCAGGAGGAATCAAACCTACAACCTTCTGATCACAGGATAACTACTCCTCCCTCAGAGCCACAGTCGCTGACAGGCCTGTGGAGCTCCGTGTCTTTTTTATGTGGCCATATTAACTATTATAGGGCTTTAAAAAATAATCATTATTTAACACTGGAAAGACATTTATTACAATCAATAATGTACAAAACCAAATATGAGACGTAAAAGCTAATATTTTGACCTCATTGCTTAAAAACTAATTTTTAAATTATTCTTTAAGAATATTTTGTAAGAATTAAGGTAAAGAAAAAAACCTCTGGTTTCACTAATCATGATTTAATCCACACATTAATAATCCATAGATTATGTTCAAGTTTTAAATGAATTTCATGATCACAAATAGACTTAAAGAAAAATGTTTTTAACTCACTTACCTGTAGATCCACGTCGGTTTTAAGACAATTATTTGTTAGAATTTAGTCCCATTTTTCCCAACCTGGAATGTGAATGACTGAGAGGCTCAACATAACAACCAGCCGGATTCAGTTTACTGGAATACACGTGACTCCAGAAACCGAAGGATTTTGAAAGGCGTTGATACATTTTCGTGTTACGTGATGACATATCTACGCCATCACGTACTTATGAGGTACTTTCAAATTCTTTCAGCCGGTGACGGAAGCAGCGCGGCTGGGCGGGGATGTTTCTCACTTTTAGACAGTAAATGAGCAGCTAAAGGAGTTTTAGTTCAATAACATTTTTATTTGTCAAGAGCAAATGTATTTTAGAGAATATATATATATAAGTACCGAGTGCACTACAGTCCAGATCAGCATGTGACAGTAATGCTCCTCACAGCTAATCTTCCGGTCCACGCGCCGGTGGTGTTATGCCCAGAAATGCATCCCCTCTCGCGGGAGCGCGCATCGCTCTAAAGTCTCGCATATTGACGAGAAACCGGACTGAAATATGACCGAAGAGGAAATTTTAAAGATATTTGTAACATTATCACGTTTCTTAACCATGTAATCCCTAAAATGGTTGATTTTATTTCGCAAATTACTTGAAATAAATACGGTTTTTACACCTTTATTGACACATATGAGTCGAACTTTTTTTCAGTCACAATTTTTGCTTGAAGTAATTGATTTTCCAAAAGTTACTGTTATGAATACCATTTTATTGAAGTTAATATTTTTTTTTTCATTTTTATGTTAAACCAAAATAAAAATTGTTTGTATATGCTTTAGATTTAGCCAGGTTGCATGTCAGATTTATTTCCTTGACTATCTTAGCAACAGTGATAATAAACATGACTTTTGTACCGATATAAAAATATCATAACTGACCATCCTACATGACAATCATATGTAATACATAAGTTTCATATATGGGGGACAATAAATAAGGCATGTATGTTGCCAAAAAATGCATCCCTGTGCTAACTTTAAGAAAAAAAAAGTTAAGTGTGAAATATATTTTTCTACATAATCAGAGTAGTTCCGTAAACTACTGACACATATTGAGTCAGTAGTTATTGACTCAATATGAGTCGAGCTTTTTTCAGTCCGTCTCTGTTGAAAACGTTCTCCGCAAATGGTTTGAAATTCTCTGCTTTGTCCTTTGATACCATAACAGCTTAAAAGCATTACAAAGCAGAGGCCCATTATGTAGAACATTTTACATCAAGGTTAACTTTCTGTTAATGTAGGAGGGAATGCATTTTAATTCATGAGCCTGAAAATATTTGCATCCATCCTGTTGATATAAAAATTATAGCATTAGTTCAGAGAACAATTCATTACGTAGAAATGGTGAAATCCTTTCAGCTCTTTATTTCTCCAAGTTAGCACAGGTATGCATTTTTTGGCAATTTGCTTTTCCAGCCTGCCAAAATATGCATCCCCTCTTTATTTTCCTCAAATATTATTCTAGTGATTTAAAACTTATACCAGTAGTTTACAGAACTACTCTGATTATGTAGAAAAATATATTTCACACTTAACTCTTTTTTTCTTAAAGTCCCCCATATATGAAACTTATGTATTACATATGATTTTCATGTAGGTCAGTTATGATATTTTGTATATCAGTACAAAAGTCATCAACTGAGGCCATGTTGATCGGAACACCTCACCAGGTTCACCTTGACGACAAGCTTCTTTTCTGGACAAGACATCCCCCTTTCCACCACTGTTACAAATCTTGGAGTTAGAATGGATTCTCATCTTACATTTGAAAATCACATTAAACATCTATTTAAAACCTGTTTCTTTCATCTTCGCAATATCTCCAAATTTCGTCCATCTCTCTCTTTCTCTGATGCCGAGTCTCTCGTCCATGCCTTTGTCTCCTCCAGGCTCAACTACTGCACCTCTCTGTTCACTGGAATCCATAAAAAACATCTTCAGAAGCTTCAATACATTCATAACAGCGCAGCCAGGATTCATTGAGGGCCCGTAAATCTGCCCATATTACACCTGTTCTGCATGACCTTCATTGGCTTCCTGTCACCTACAGAATTCAGTACAAAATCTCTCTCATTACACATCAATGTTTAAACGGAACCTCACCAGATTATCTGAAGGACCTTCTCATTCCACATTCATCCACCAGATCTCTACGATCACAAGACAGCAACCTCCTCCACCTTCCTCCACCTTCCTCCACCTTACTCGCTCCAGATTAAGGACCATGGGAGATCAGGCATTCGCTGGGCTGCCCCCCGTCTGTGGAACTCTCTCCAGGATTATTTGAGCTCAGCTACCACTGGTTCACTTCAAAAGAGGCTTAAAGACTTTATTTAAGCAAGCCTATTCTGCCTCCACATGATTTTTATGATGTTGATTTTATCTATGATTTTAGTTGCACTGTGTGGCACTTTGAGATTTTTTCTAATGAAAAGTGCGGTACAAATTAAATTGATTATTATCACTGTTGCTAAGATAGTCAAGGAAATAAATCTGACATGCAACCTGGCTAAATCTAAAGCATATACAAACAATTTTTATTTTGGTTTAACATAAAAATGAAAAAAAAAATATTAACTTCAATAAAATGGTATTCATAACAGTAACTTTTGGAAAATCAATTACTTCAAGCAAAAATTGTGACTGAAAAAAAGTTCGACTCATATGTGTCAATAAAGGTGTAAAAACCGTATTTATTTCAAGTAATTTGCGACCATTTTAGGGATTACATGGTTAAGAAACGTGATAATGTTACAAATAAATTTAAATTTCCTCTTCGGTCATATTTCAGTCCGGTTTCTCGTCAATATGCGAGACTTTAGAGCGATGCGCGCTCCCGCGCTCCTGCAGTTTTGGGCAGGCATGCGTTTCTGGGCATAACACCGGCAGACGGAGAAGGAGCGGAGCCACGGGTGTGGCTTCGTCGTGGAAAGAGAAGGGAACGAGCCGCCGCCATTTTCTCAGTGACTGCGAAGGGCGTGAAGCTCTTCTGGCACAACGTCGATATTTACGGCTGATATGATGGTGTTTACCCTGTAGAACCGCTCGAAATCATGGCTGTGAAGTTTGTTCTCTCCTTCCTGATACTGATGGCGCTGCAGGCCGCGGCTGAGGACGTTACTTACTTTGAGATCGGCGGGACTCTGACGCTCAACCCAATGTTCTCTGAGGCCATCACCATGCTCACCTGGAAGCATAAAGCGAACATTGTAGCTGAATACATAAAGGATTCGGTTCCTCTGGAATATCTGGGTGACTTAAAAGGCCGAACAAACGTGAATCTGACCACCGGAGTACTGACCGTCAAAGACATGAGAAAATCTGACGACGGGCAGTTCACGGTGGAGATCAACAACAGGGTCCTTCCTGTCAGCTTTAACGCTGTGGGGATCGAAAAGCTGCCCCCTGTTGAAGTCATCGTGAGGCCTCTGACGTGCAACAGCGATGCCCTCAGCTGCACCGTATCCTGTGGTACCAACTTTACAGGCGTCGGACCCGTCCAGTACTTCTGGAAGAAAGGAGAAACGGAAATGTGGAAGGAGGATGAGAAGACAATCACAATTAAAAACGAGGAGGGGAAGGATCGGGGCTTCACAACCTTCACCTGCAAAGCGAAGAACCTAATCGGTGAGAAGGAGAGCAGCCCGGCAGTGAACCCCTTCACTGGCAAGAAATCTGACAACACTGGCGCTGTGGCGGCTGGCATCGTTGTTCCTCTCGCTATACTAAGTGCAGCCGGTGGATGGTTTATCTACAAGAAATATATTAAGAAGGACGAGAGTTCTGCACAAGCAGGACAAGGCAATACAGAGAAAGTCAATGGGGATGAGCATGTAGCTTTGAATATGGCCGAGTCTGATAAAGCCGCCAACTCAGACTCATGAGGGGCTGATGCCTGTGGATCCCCTGTCTGCCTCCCCAAAGAAACTCTGGTTATAAAACCTTCTGCCCTCATGCATCTCTGTGGATGTCCACTTCAGGAGCTCTTCAGTGTTTCTGTCTGGATCTTCCATTTGACCATCATGTTTGGATTAATTATGAAGGGAAACCAAATCTGCGGCGCTTAAATATGAACTTTTTTTTTTTTTTTTTTTTTTTACCAAATGAATTTTTTAAAATGGTTTTTTTTTCCATCATTTTATTAGTTTTATCATGTCTGGATGTGA